CGGGGTATTTTAGTACAGTATCGGGGCACTATGGCAGAGAGCATATTACTTTTTTTTTTCTAGAGAGGGGTGGATGTTGGGGTTGATAATCATATGACATTTGGATATCCAATCCAAGTGAACCAAAAGGAATGGAGAACTAACTTGATGGGACCGCCGCCGTTCTCGGCGTGCCGGCGGGCCTGCCTGTCCAGTATCTGCTCGAACAGTCGGATCCGCTTCGCTGTCACCGCCTCCAGGTACGCCTCGTCCGGGAGGATGGTCGGGGGCGGGGGCGGCGCCTTCTCTTTCGCGCCCACCCCCTTCTTTTTCGCGCCCATCGCGGCGGCGGAGCGGTGGAAGAGGCGCGTCGCCGTAGAGGATTCAAGCGGGCGGAACCCCTCTGCTAGCTGCTTTGGAATTGGAAACTCAAACTCGGAAACGAGGGAGATGATTGTTTTTTTGTTGTTTGAGCAGCAAACTGTCCTGGTTCTCGTACAGAGCAGAGGGGCCTCTTTACAACGGTACGAAACTTGCGGGCTACTCTGAACTTGCCCGCCACTCTTCCTGCCAAGCTTGACTGCTGCAGTGCTTGGTCAACGTGCATGAGAAAAACACGCGCACGCGCGCGCACGGCACAAGTCGCCGCGCGTCGCGTGCGCTCCTACGCTCGTACAGTATCTGTCATCGTGCACACACGCGTCGTGGCGTCCCTGCCGCGCCGTCGGTTGCTGCTCACGGGTTGCCGGGCATCGTCGCTCGTAGCCCCGCTCTCGTTGGTTGCCGGACGAACCATGCATCGCAGGTCATAGCATTTTGCTTCGCCGGCTGTAGCTCCAAGGTGTGCCATCCCAGCACCCCGCCTTGCGTTGCAGGTTGCAGCTGGCCGTGCGTGGCTATCCCAACATCCCGCCGAGCCGGTCCCAAGTATGTCATCTTGGACGCGTTTGGTAGGCTGCATTAGATCGGGTCAGGCTCGCGCGAGCAGAATTTGGCTCGTTTGGTTGCGTTGCTTGGCTTGCATGTGATTCGTGGCCCGCACGAACCTCAAAGTAGGTCTGGGCTTGACTTTGGAGGAACGGCCGAATCGGCCGTTTTTTGTGAGCCAGACTCGCTCGAGCCACGCGTGGCGCGCCTGGGGAAGCACGGGAGACAACGCGACAGTTCATAACTCACCACGCCCCCTCCCGTCACCTCCCTCGCCAGTTCACACCCACCCCCTCTCTCTCACCTCGCCACCCGTTAGATTTCTCCGATAGCAACGCCGCCATCTCGCCACGCCCCACCAACTCCGGTCATTCGCGGTAGCAATCTCATCCGAGAGGTGGGTTGCCCGCCTCTCCGCAACCGGAGTAGATCTGGCGGCGGCACTACGAGCTCCCTTCCCTTTCTGCATCATGTCGCCGCCCCGGGCCAATGCAGCGCCGGCGACGGTCGCTCCAGCTCCACCACCAGAGCCGGTGGTCTACTCCTTCGGCTCAAACCTGGCGGGGATCCAATACCCGTCGGCGCCGTCCTTTGCAGGCCCCTTTTATGGGGGTATTTTTACCTCCATACGAGGGTTTTCTCCTCTGCGTCCGGTGCAAGGGAAGGGGAGCTCCAGGACGCCAGCGATATATTGTGAGGGAGTTTTCTCCTCTGCGTCCGGTATCTTTTACGGAGTACCTACTAATAATCCGTTGTGGCTGTTCTGCAAAAACGCCCCTACGTTTACCTGAAATCAACCCGCAGTCCCTATTTTAGTGACACTCTAGAAAAACGTTTCACTTTTACAGAGAAACCCTATAGTCATTTCAATTCAGTCCGCACTCCTCCCCTTCGTCTTATCCATTCTGTCCTGCGCCGGCGACTTCGCCCAACCCGTCGTGCGCCAGCGGCCGCCGTGCCTCGCGCGGAAGGATGGAGGGCGCTCGCCGTGAGGATGGACGGCTCGGAGAGGCGCGCTCGCGCCCGAGCTCCTGTGCCCATGCCTCGCGCCTCCTTGCACCGCTCCGGCAGCCCCTCGCCATCCGCCGTCGTGGGCGACCACCAGCAGCGCCCGTCGCGCCTCTCCGCGCGCCACTCGGAGGCCCCAGCCAGGCCGCGCAGCCGTCCTCCTCCTCGACCTCGCCTGTCCGTGCGACAACCGGCGCCGCCGCCGGCGGCCACGGGTCCAGTGCCGCCTTCGTCCTCCACCTTCTCCTAAAGCGCGCGTCCGCCGCGGGCGCTGGCGGTGGCGCGGCGGTCCTTGCCCTCGATCTCACCGAGGAAGGCGTCCTTGCCGAGCAGCTCGACGAGAGCGCTGCCAATGTCGCTGAACTGAATCGCCAGCCATCTCAGCCCACGTCTTTCAGCACGCAACCGGCGAACCCACTCAGCAGCTCCTGGGCAAACAGCTTTGACCCCTGTTAACACGTTATGAGGATCCATGGCCTCTTCTTCTATTTCTTCAGTGCTACCATCTTGAAACCGGTGCAGTTTCTGCTGCATCTTCCTGACACTGGTCCTCAACTAGCTTATTTTGCTCTTCTTTCTGAAGATTCATGGCCTGCTTTTCCAATTGTTGAGTGGGTACAGAAGTCTTCATATCATCACCTAATTGATTGCAAACAAAATTCTCATCACTTTCAGATACGACAGTCAAGACACATAACGCGGGACACTTCAACTACAGAAAGGCATGGGACACGCACCGATTTAAGTCCATGTCAGGGGCATCACCTGTCTCATGTTCGCAGGAGGAAGAAGCTCCGAGTTCGCCGGAGGTACACAAACATCCGTTGAGCACTCCAATGTCGCGGCGTCTACACCAGAGGTATGCTTCCACTTGACCCCTGTTAACAAGCACCGTGAGCCGAGTAGACACCGGCCAAGTCCAACATTTGATTCAGCCATGTATGCACACCAGACCTGAGCGTCAATCATCCTCCAAATCCAATCCATTACGTTAATTTCCATGTCTAGAATTGACCCTCCAGGTGATGCTTTTTCATGTGTAGAATTCAGCATGTTAGGCAAGAGCGTCAATCAATCTATAGTTCTATACTATAATATCAGACATGAGAGACCAGTCCAATTTTTCTTGTAAAGTGCATGTTGTTTCAGGTCCTCTAAAATGCTCATGTCTGCCTCAGTTTCCTGAATCTTGTTGATTGGAAGATATTCTTGGTTCTGCTTAGTTGATAAGCACCTTGGTTTCAGTTTCAATTCCTCTGTTGATTATTCCAGTTTTGATCTGGTTGAACCTTCTTGAAGAATTTGTTATTCTTTTGGCCATGGGGCGTAATCGTCTCTGCTTTTCGAATTTTCATCACTCTTTCCTTACTCAATGTTTCAGCCATCGGATGTTTCAATACAAGTCAAACACAACTGTCACAAAGATTCATGTGAAATCATGCTGAATAGTAGAAGTATCTTGATTGTAAGCGTTGCACTGAAATGCAAACATGAAAAATGACACATAATTTAGAATCCAATATAAATCTAAGCGTGCGCACACTCGGTTCAGTTTCCATTCTTTTGTTAAGGCCACTGGATTCCTGGCGAGCCCGTGCACGGCATGCTGATTCTGAATTTTGGCATGCTCTTGAAGTGTAGGATGATTGGTTTTGATGTCTCTGTTGTTTGTGTGCGTGCAGGTGCCAAAGGCGTCTCAGGTGGAGGCGAAGGAGGTTCTTCTAATTCCTAAGGCACCAGACTGGACATTCCTATGTTGACTACCATTTATGGTCAATAAAGTTGTCCGTGTTTGTTTTTGATTGCTCAACTAAATATCTGAAGTCCAATGATGTATGCATTCATGTTTCTCCTCTAAGGCACAAAGACTGGACATTCCTATGGTGACTATATCATTCATGCTCAATATAGTTGTCTGTATTTGTTTTCAATTGCTCACCTGAATATCTGAAGCCAAATGTTTTTTTATCATTGGCTATATCAGATAATCCCAATAGTCCCTAATCTTGCAAATCATGTTTTTTTTGTTTAAATTTATCTTTCTCTTGAGATAATCTGAAGAAATTTAAGTTGTTTCCAGTGGCAAAGAGCATCATAAACTATTGTTACAAGTCTATCATATATTTCTCAAATTTTATAAGATATTCATTGGCATGCATTTTAAATGATGATTAAGGTATTTCTCAGTATGTTGTGTTATTTCACTGCTGGGGGTTTGCACGTATTCTGATTTCTAAACAAATCTCAATTTCTCGATTTCTATGCAGAAACAATAATTATCCAGAAGTAGCCTAATTATATGTATTTGTGTTCGCACATATACATCGTAACTATGCTAAGGGGTATTTATATGAACTTGGTTCAGGGCCAACAATACCAGCTGTAGTGCTGAAACAAGCACGATTCCATCATTTGTTACCGGTTCCTTTTGCTCGATAGCAGGCTCTTTTTGTTGGATGTGGTATAATTATATGCCGACAGATATTGACAGGTGTATAATGTAGTATATATTCCTAATTCCTCCAATGTCTTAATAGCATGAAGAATGTAGCACTTCAGGTCCTCATCAAGTAAGGTTTCCATTTAAGCATGGTGTCCATGCATGCTATTGTTAACTTTGCTGACAATGGCAGCTTAGTGATCACCGTGTTTGTTAAATTTAATTTCCACCTCCGTGTAATGTATCATAGTACTATGCACAAAGATACTTCAACACTAAAGCTCGCACCTAACTTGCTCGGGTCTCGGCTCATGATTCTTTCAACTTTCATGTAGTGCTGCTGAAATATTATGTAACACTCAAATTTGATGATATTTTTAATGGGCACAACTGTGCCGGTAGAGGTTGACAGTTAATGAATTTTGTGATAATCTTCGGTTATACTGTTATATATAGCACTTTGCTGGTTATATGGTTCACATTCTCTGAGCCAATTCACAATGACCATTCCTGATTTGGGCATTATGTTTTTAAATCATTTTGTAACATTTTGGTTGATTTTTTATGCTGCTCCTTAATTTTTTTGATTGACTGGTGTTGAAATAAATGAGTGTTGCCATTCACAGGATGCCCAGTACAACCGAAGATGGGTTCCCGATTGTTCCTAGATATTTCAGAGCAACTAGAGTGGTCTTACCTGACAAGCTCCAATGTTGTGCTGAAGTATTTTGAACAAGCTTGTCCTTTGCCTTATGCTGGAACAAGGCACCTTCTATTCCCCATGGGCACCAAGAATGCGAAAACATTGATGATTCGAGCAAATGTAAGTTCAGGCTTCAAGATTGAGCCGAGCGCCCTACCAGCAGATCTGGATAATGCATACAAGAATGAGAAAGCATATCAGCGATTGGATATTTCTGGCCCTACAGTTAACCCTTTTGTTTTTTCCTGTACGGCGAGGGCGAGATAAAAGATATGCTTTCTGTTTGTGCTGAGCATGGAGCTTGGGTAGTGATAGACACCTTCTCTGGTCTGGAGTTCCACAACAGAGATGGCTGGATTTTGCGGAACGGGTAATTTTTTTATTATAGCATTTGCTTATATGACCTTTCCTTGGTCAAACATATTTCACAAGTAATTTGTTTTCTTCAAAAAGGAGGATATTTTCACAAGCCCAAACCGACCACATAGCACTTTGAAATGCACTTATAGGAAGCTGTTGGTTTTGAAAAACAAGAGGGATCAACATTTCTCTAATCTCATCACGCCAACAAACTGACGAAGGTTAGTCCCTGACATACCTCCCAAACCTTAGTTCAGAGATAAAGGTTGGTAGTTCAGAGAAATTCAGTATTTGACATGCGTGCTATCCTTTTTGTTGTCTTTCTCTGGTTTCGTGCGATGAACAGACACTCGAGAGCTGTGGTTGGGATGTCGCCAGGTACCACTGTGGGATGTCGCCAGGTACCACTGTGACACGCGTACATCGGCAAATCGTTCAGGGTGGATGATTTTGAAGGCGAGCTCGACAGCTGCAATATCAGGGAAGCCCTACTGAACTACTGCAGGTTCAGCTTACCGTGTAGTATTTTCTTTACAACAAGGCCTCACACGAGCAAAACTGTCATCTTGTTGTTTAGTTTTGGCCCGGGACTGCAATTTTTTCCCTTATTGCATTCTTTAGTGCATAAAATAAAATATATAATGTGCATAAAAGCCGAAAACAACCATTACGATCATAGTAGGCGAACTGAAATTGTAGGGATATAAAGCAGTACCTGAACATACAAAAGCTGGCCACAACTCTGTCTTCAATTCCATCTTGTTTCCAGATTTCAGGAGTAGATCATCACCACCATCACAGATCAGGCTCTTTGTCAGTGCAAATAACAGACTAACACCACAAGGACTTCATTAACCTTAGCCACTTCTTATGGGTACATGAGAACTAAAAAATTCATCTGTTAAAATTTGTTTTTTTGACTTTTTGGACTAATTCATGTGCAAAATTTATATTTTCAATTAGATTGATTTATTGTAGTTTTATCAACGACTATAGTATATTAAGATGTGGGCATTATATCGAAAGTGTTGTTCTACACCCGAGGTCATGTGAGCTTGGTTGAACAGTAAAATAAATAAAAAATGGAAAAACAATTCAAAAAATGTGATTTCTTTCCGCGTGAGACACTGAAAAAATGTTTATTAGCTTGCAAAATTTCAATACTATCTTTCTTGACTGATTGTTTGTGGTCTGCCATGAGCCCACGACGTAGCCATCTGCATCTGCCTCGCCTTGAGGCCACAGCAGCACCCCTGCCCTTCTGCTCCTGCTGGCGACCGCAACCCTCTGGCGGCAGCAACACCGCTCTCGTGTGCTGGCCTTGCTGTCTCATCTCCTCTCTCTCTCATGTTTGGGTATGATGTTAGCGTTATGTGTGTGTGGATGGATATGATGCTACCATGGTGTGTGTAAAAATCTATTTTTGGTTTATTTCTCTTTGGAGTATTGCTGTTGGAGATGAGCTTAAGAGGCGAAAGAGTAAAGATCTGGTAAGCTGTTTGTATTGCTTCAGGAGAATCTTTTATCACTGTTTTTGGGACTGTATTTATGTCAAAGAGGCATGTAGGGAGCTGGAACAAATTTGTTACTTCTCATGGCCACTTTTTTGAACATGATTATTGAGCTTGACTATGCGGAGGTAGGAAAAAATATCAGCGTAATGGGTTTGAGAGATATCATGTTATCCCTTCTGTTCAGGAAATTAAGGAGATCTGTGCGAGTAATATTCGGGTGGAGTTCGTTTGATGCAGAGTAGCAAATATGTGTGCTCATCTTTTACCTAGAGCTGGTGTAAATGTTGCTGAGTGCGAGCAGTAGACGGACTCTACTCCGTCAATGCTGGAGCATTCATATCCCAATGACGCGAGCTGACAACACCCCGCTCGTGTTGATAACGGTTTCTCACTGCGGTTGCAATGCGATGCGTCAAACCAGGTGCATGGTGTAGCTTGTGAAGGGCGGCCCTCACATCCAACTCAAGGAGAATAGATTTTTCAGTTTCAAACATTTCCTTTCAATGACATGTGTCTCGTGTGATGGTCCTTTTTTTTGCGAGGAACTTGGAATTGACAAGTGGGGGTTTTGAGCCGTACTTCTTGGATTGGTGGTGTGAGTTTTTTTTCATTGAATTAGAGGTGTGATTTTTTTCCTCCCGTTGCAACACACGGGCATTTTTACTAGTATCAACCAGTATATGCAATGACATTAAAAGTTCATTCACACATGCATATATTATGGGGAAGTTTGCTCTATATATTGTGGGTATGCTCACATCTGCCCTTTCCAACGGTGTTCGCCGCCCTTGGTTGTGTCCATGGTCTGTGGTTGACGCGGCGTCGTCTAACTGGTTGCAATGCAGCGCCAAGGCGCGCGGGGCATGTGGTGGCACGCTAGGCACAGTGGTCTGACAGACCCAATCTGGGCCCGAGTGGGCTGCGGCTTGGCGGCAGAGGAGGTGGTCGCCTCTCACCGGTGACCCGCTATGGCTGTGGGTCCTGCAACGTTTGGCCGGGAGGAGTCTGACGGCGGCGGTGCGAGTAGCCTCTGGGAGGCCAGTCTCCTAGGTGCCTAGTAAAAGCATTCCAACAAAGGCGCTAAATAAGCCGCGCGCCTGAGAAAATGGCTTTTTAGCGAGCACGCGACAGAATCGGCAACTATAGTAGAGGCGCAACAATCGCGAAAAACCACTCTGTGCACCGAACAGAACTGCATCGCGCACAGCTTTTTTCGAGCGTCCGCTACCGCGTGTTGTACAGCCACTCGCCCGAATGTCCACCAACCGCCGAATCTGAAATATCCACACTCGCGCGTGACTTCCTCATCCTCTTCGGCGACCCGTTGACGCTTCCCCCCTGCCGTTCCCCACCGCATGTACCGTTTCCCCCTCTTTCCTGGTGGCCGCCGCTGCTTCCTCCTCCGCGACCGTCCCTCGAGTGCCCCGTTCCGTCGGCGAACAAGCATGGACAAGATTTGGACTATTCTCAGTATGAGTTGCTGGGACACCCCGCACGAGTACGGAGGAGGGTTGAGAGGGTGGCCCGCTTTGTTGCCTCCTATCATGCCATTCGACGTGCCGAAACACATGATGAACTTCAGAAGGATCTAGTCGAGGAGTGGTGGGCATGAAATAGACGACAAAATTTTATTTGTTGTATTGTATTGAATTATTTGTTGTATTGAAGTTTAATTATTTGTTTGAGTTGTAATAATAATTAAACTATTTTTTGTCGAATTATTTTGTGTGTGTTTGATCTTCTTTGTTCCACATTAAATGCAAAATGTTGTTTGTCCCGGGCGCGCGCTCTATATTTTGATGTTGTTTGTGCCGGACGCGCTCTCTATATTTTGCCGCGCCTGCTGAAGCTGTGCTTTGGCGCGCTAAAAAATTTCAGCGCCTGCTGAAGCAACTATGTGGTCCGGCGCGCAAAAGGGCTATTTCGGTGCTGTAATTTTTTTTTGCGCGCGTCTATTGGAGCTGCTCTAATTGTTTCAACGTGGGCAAATACAAGAACATCATCTTCCTTTGCAAGCTTCAACACCCAGTGGCATTCCATGACTGCACAAAGACCTACATCATGTACACACAACACAACCACCACACTGTACATATCCCTTTGCACATTCATCCAACACCTTCCGGCATGTAAAAAAAAGAAAAGAAAAAGAAACTGCCTGCCTCAAAAAAAAACAGCCTTCCTGGGTTTCATACCACCGTCGAGGGACAAGGTGCTCCCGCCGTTGCGGTTCAACCACAGCAAGCAATGCTCCGCGGCGTTCGCCTCGTGCAAACGCGGCGAGGATTTACGCGAGCCTTAGGGCCATTTCTTGTAGGAGGGCTCTCTTCTGCGACGGCGTGATCACTTGACTGGTCTCGGCATTTTCAAGCACATCCGTGACGATCGCGGTGGCATGGCCAAGCGACGACTCGATTGCTCGCTTTAGCATGAAAGCCTGAACGACATGAGCACAGAGGCAGAGTTAGAAAAAGCAGAGCAGTTTCCAAATCATCATAGCCGCAGACTGGCAAAAAAACAAAAACTACAAGAATGAACCAAACCTGTCCATGGTGGGATATCTTCAGCGTGCACGAGTGCTGGACCCAAGGTTCCCCGTCCACCTGAACCGGGAAAGGCGCCGAGAACCGTAGCTTGATCGATTGGCCCTGAGCAATCCTCCGCGCACGAGAAAGACCGACCTGATAAATCCAACTCTGTTGTTGTTTATCCATCCTCCAGCGTTTCGTTTATTCGTCGAAAATGTTATATGCTACTGTTTGCTTACCTGAAGTGTCCCCAGGTGCCAGGTTCCACTGATGCTAACTACTTCAAGCATCTTGTCATGGATCGACTGTGGGTCAAAGTTGTCGAGATTCTCCTCCTCGTTTTGCCACAGGTCAACCCCTCCCATATAGCTTGGGATGTTCGCAATGAGGACGCCTTCTGAATCCTGAAACATTCACATGCATTAGCATGATAGATAGTGGTGGTACGTATAATAGTTGCAAGATTCATCTAGTTAAACCTCTGGTATATCAATCTCAGCTCCGTCAACCTCTAGCCTGACTTGCCAAGGTAGGTCCGCGAATGTCCTATCGATGATACTCTTCGCGCCTTCCCTTGCATACAGCACCTTGTTTAGGAACTGAAAAACAGAAGAGAAATGTTACTACATGCGTAACGAAAACGACCTTGTAAAATGAGAAGTGCTCAAGGCACGCCGTTTGGTTTTGTTAAGATAATAGTACACCAATATGTTTAGACACCGAAAGAGGACAATGTAAATATCCTGATCAGCTTTTTTTCATGTATGAGACTGCTATATGTGGTAGAGAAACAGAAACTACCTGACTGTAGAACTTGTCTGGATTTTCCTTGCGGAGATTATGAATGTCCAGTGCAACCTTTGCA